AGTCATATCTTCAGCTATTTTCACTTGGCCTTTTGATCAAAAAGAATTAATTTGGCTTGTACTGGATAGTATTTTAGAAAAACTAGGTAGTTTTTCTCAAGCAATTACCTTGGGCTTTCCTTTGGATAGACTATGTGACGTTTTTATTATTTCTGCCACTGAATAAAGGTAACTTTTTCATTTTCATTTATGATAGGTTTTATAAATGTCAAATTCCTTGTTAAAGAGTCAGAGTTGACATTCTAAAAGTCAAAGGGTGATATAAATAATATTCAAGTATATACACCTAGAGTTGGAAGTAATTTCAATCACTTTCTCCCACCCTCCAAAAATCAAGGTAACCTACTTTTCAAAGAATTATATGAATAGAAGAAATCAGGCTGAGTACTAAAAAAGAAAGACACATGATATTCCAAATGTGACATATTTATAATTCACATGTAAAGAACATGAATATACAAGTAAAACCCATGTGAAATCCATTTCGTATGACTTGTACATTTAAAGTTAATCAACCCTGATACCAATTCCTTGGAATTAACTTTTACAGGATTGTGGAGGATTAAAAATTAGGTTTCCCTCAACTTTAGAGGTAAGCTAAATTTTTTTCTACTGTTATCTCCAAGGAAATAAAATTGTTCTAGTGTATTGGTGATTAGGTTATGACTTTCATTTCTTTACTTTCTCAATTTTTAGGAAATTATAAACTGGTACATTATTTAACATGCTTTTAAAGGAAAAGAGAATGAATCCGCTTATTGATAGAGATCAGTGAATCCAGAATGCTAACATAAATTTAGGGTCACAAAGTCAGACGTATTCAGGGGCCAACTAACATGCATGAGCAATGTGTACCAGGCAGGGGTGCAGGCAAGGTGGAGAGTGCCTACCCATTTGTTGCATTCCAAGAAAGTATGGCCCACAAACATGGGAACACAAAAGGACCAGGGCTTCTGCAATGTTAAGAGAAACTCAAAACACATTTTCCCCCCTAAATGCTCTAACTCCCAATTTTGAAATGTTAGCAGTTATGTTTCTGAAAACATTTGCCTATGGTCTGTGAGCTGCATTTGGCCTAGTACCCACAAGAAGTTCATTTGGGGAGCTAACCCAGTAACCACAATCTTACAATAAGAAACATAGTTACCAAATTCATTTGAATTCTCACGTTGACTGATCTGAGCACTATATCTGAGAGATTAAATAAATATGAAAGGTTGCTTGGTGACTTAAGAATCAAAGTAAACAAAGTTGTATGATCTTAATAGATAGTATTGTCAAGTGATAACTTGGTACATTCATTTATTCGGCAAATCGGTAATGAGTATCTTGCATGTGCCAGGTACTGTTTTGGCCACCAGGGAAAGAGCTGAGTAAAAGGTACTCAGGTGCTTACATTACAGAGGTGCGAGGTAGTAAATAAATAAACAAGAAAAATAGCAGGTAACAATAACTACCTCGCAGAAAGTTAGAAAGGGTTATTTGATAGCAGGTGTCTGGTTGGCTTCCCTATACTAGCTGGGGGACCTAAAATCTCACCTCAGAGGCTGTCAGAGCGTCAAATTCTTCCTCTTTACTCCTTTTTTTCCCGTTATAAGGTCACTCATGGTATGTTTTAAGAAATTGAAAGCCAGTTTATTTTAAATTAGTTACATTTTAATCTTCTCGACTACATTTGGTGCAAATGTCAATCCAAGAGGGATTTAGGGAAACTGCTAATCTAATCAACAACTTAATTACAATGCCTGGGTCAGTGCTGCAGATGGTTAATTCCAAACATTTTATGTTGATTCCTTTTAGCTTCAGTTTTAGAGGGTACCATTTTCCAGTGTGTCCCCAAATTCTGAGAATATACCATTTGAGGATTTTTAATTATATTTTGGGAACAAAGACTAATAACATTTTCACAATGAAGATCCTTTCCTGAGGCCAGAGCTTCTCCCACCTAAAAATGCACATTAACAAATATCTTTTTAAACTCTTTCCTATGATTTTGTAATCAGCCACTGTACGATGAAATGTAGGAACCCTGGAATGTCGAGTCAAAAAAGGTTCCAAGCCAGCTGTTTAGCTTTGCTGTAGGTCAACTCTTTGATTTGATACTCAGTCACCTAATCCTCCTGCTTAATCTAGAAAGCCCACCTCTTGGGGCATTGAAAATGAGGATTGAGTGAGAGTGTGAATTTGAAAGCTAATTCTGAAAAGTTCACTATGATTGTTATTCTGATTAGAATGGCCATTAAGGTCAATGGCAATGCTTGTTTTTCCAGTGAGTTATATGAGCCAGGAGACTCATGCCTGTAATCCCAGCTACCTTAGAGCTGAGTTGGGAGGATCTTTTGAGCCTGGGAGTTTGAGACCAGCCTGGGCAACACAGTCAGATCCAGTCTCTCTCTCTCTCTCTTTCTCTCTCTTAAATAAGAAAACAAATGGATCCTTGTGACCATGGGCAAATAAAGCAGAGCCAAACACAAAGCAGACCTCTTCTAGAAAAGTCAGCTGTTAAAGAGGAAATAAATGAAATCTCTAAAGCTTCATTTAAATTCAGAAGGAGAAATGCAGATTGTATAAAACAGCCAGAGTAGGAATAATAATAAATTGCTGACATTCATTGAACACTTACTCTACCTTAGGCATGGAGTCAGTATTTAACATGCATTATCTCTTCAAATGAGGAGAGAAGAAGGAAGGAAAAGTTAAGCTAATAAATACTGTGAAGTTGGAAAAAATCATTAGCTCATACACGATATTCACGATCACCCCCAAAAGCTCTTTAAATATGTGCAGGTTTGGGGACCCATTTCTCAGAGGTTTGTTGTTTTCTACAGCCCTTTTGGGCCCCTTCCGCCTATTGTTATCTAATCTCCCCTCCTCAGCCAAGCAGGAAAGTCCTCAACCCCCTGTCCCCCAGCGCCCGACTCACTGGTAGCTTTCAGAAACAGTTCTCCCCCATGTGCCAGCGTTTTATGTAGTAAGCACATGTTGCCCATAACATTGAACTGCAGGTTAAAAATTTATTCCACTAAATTATACAGCGGTTAGCTGAGCAAATAATTGAAATGCAAAGGAATACATTCAGTATATTTAGCTTAGAGTATATTCTTTTGGAAAGCAAAACCATTTCTTTCTTATTTCTTTTTTGCCCCAAATAAGACTAGAAATGGATTGATCCATTTAAGACTTCCATTAATAAACTTCTCAGAATATGAAATCTCTCCAGCATGTGGGGACGCTGGGGTGAAAGGTTCCGCGCAATTCTCTGGGGGCCGGCTCCGGTGCGGGAGGAAATATGCTAATGCAGCCGTTTGCCGCAGGGCGGGTGTTATTTATATAGCGCTGGCTGGGCACGGCCGGCGCTGGAGCAGGGAAAAGGAGGGAGAGGTTTGTCTTCTTGTGCGAGAATGTAGATGTGTGCGCCTGTGCACAAGGCGTTCCAAACGTGAATTCAAGATCTTGGGGAGGGGCTGGGGAATGCCATCACGCTTATAATGTGTGTATGTAACTCGGGTTGGAGATATATCCTCCTAGCATTGTGCGTATATCGCATTCACTTTGGAGTGGGGGAGGAAGCGGCGCTTTGGGAGTGGGTGCTGCAGTCTGTCGGGTGACCTGGCGCTGCGGGAGACTGGAGACCTGAAATTGGCAAATGCGCCTCCTTGACCCTGCTCTGTCGACACAAAAATCAACCTTATCTGAGCCTCGAAATAGGGCAGCCGGCTGTTTCCGAAGGCCGGAGACCCTCGGGCTCAGGACTGGGAGTGGGGTGCGGGCAGCTGAGCGGGTGGACACCTCTAAGGCGACAGAGGTCACGGAGACACGACACACGCGGGTGGGGTGGGGGCCCCGCGCGGCTGCGTAAGCCGAGCTTCGAGGACGACCCTGTCCACACGCTCCCAGCGCGCGCCGACTCCCCCGGGAACCCCCGCTGGCCCGCGCCCCCTGCTCCGAGCGCCTCCTCGTCCCTCGCCCTGCCCGGCGAGGAGCCGGGACCCGCAGGGTCTCCTCCAGCCAGGCGGGCCCCGGGTGTCCGGTTTCCCCCGCCCTCCTCCCGTGGATCCAGGCGGCCGCGGCACGTCCCGGCTGGAGGGGGCGCTCGCGCGCAGGAGCCGAGCGCAGCAGGTGCCGTGGTTACCTCCACCTCGGCGGGGGGGAGAGGGGGCGGGCCGGGGGGCAGGGAGGAGGAGGAGGGAGGCTCCAGGAGCCCGAGAGCGCGGCCGGAGAGCGCGGCCGGCTCGGCAGGCTGGGTCCCGAGCTCGCGGTTTCCGGGAGGCGCCCGAAGTCGGATAAATACAGCCGCTGCCCGCGCCACCCGCACCGCCACCCGCAGGGCCCCGAGCCGCCAGCAAGGGCGCGGGCCGGGTGCGGCGCCGGCTCCTCCACCACCCGCGGCTGGCGCGGAGCAGAGGAGAGCGATAGGCTTGGCCGCCGGCGCCCGGGCCGCGGAGCCGATGAGCCGCGGCAGCTGAGGGCCCGGCCGGCCTCTGCCCGGCGCCCGAGCGGGGCCGCAGCGCCCGGGGCGCGGGGTCCAGCTGGTGACATGGGGGCGGCCTGACGCACCGCGAGCCCCGAGCGCTCTCTCTGTAGCCGCGGGCCCTCCCGGCGGCGCGGCGGCGCGCGCGCCCCGGCGCGCTCTGCCCCGGCGCCCGCGGAGCCTGCGCCGCTCTATGCGCCCTCTGCGGGCGCCGCGGGCCCGGACCATGGCGATAGACCGGCGCGCGAGGCCGCGGAGGCGGGCCCGGGCGGCAGCCGGCCCCGGCCGAGGAGAACGGCTCCCTGCCGCCCGGGGACGCGGCGGCCTCGGCGCCCCTCGGGGGACGCGCTGGCTCCGGCGGCGCGGAGATCCAGCCGCTGCCCCCACTGCATCCCGGCGGCGGCCCGCACTCGAGCTGCTGCTCGGCGGCGGCGGCCCCGAGCCTCTTGCTGCTGGACTACGACGGGTCGGTGCTGCCTTTCCTCGGGGGCCTGGGCGGGGGCTACCAGAAGACCCTCGTGCTACTAACCTGGATCCCGGCGCTGTTCATCGGCTTCAGCCAGTTCTCGGACTCGTTCCTCCTGGACCAGCCCAACTTCTGGTGCCGCGGGGCTGGCAAAGGCGCCGAGCTGGCTGGGGTCATCGGCAGCGGCAGGTGGGGCGACGTGGGCAACTGGACCAGCTCCCCGACCACCCCCTTCTCCACTGCAGCCTGGGGGGCCCCGGGCAACCGAAGCAACAGCAGTGGCGCCAATGGGGGCGACACGCCACCCCTGCCATCCCCTCCGGACAAGGGGGACAACGCCTCCGACTGCGACTGCCACGCATGGGACTATGGCATCCGCACTGGCCTTGTCCAGAACGTGGTCAGCAAGGTAAGGGCCGCGACCGCCCTGGCCCCGCGTCCTTCTCGCGAGCTCCCGCACCCCACCCGGATTGCCTCCGCCCTTCCCTCCGTCCCTCTCCATGCAGACCGAGGTCCAAGCCTTAGCCATCGGGGGACCTGAAGTCCCCAAAGTGGTGGTAGTCTGTGTGTATATGCGTCCCGCATGGGCTTATTTTTCTTCGTCCCCAAAAGTGCGTTCATTTGGGTGTGAAGCGAGGGTTTTTGCCGCCTTCTGCAGTGACACTACATCCCCGCCCTCCGGGAACGCCATAGCCTCTCCTCGTTTGCACCCAAACTCTCGTCCCAGTACACCTAGGAGAAGAGCGCCCCTGCCCCCAAAAAGATTGAACAACTCTCCCCCTCCTGCCGGGGTGAGGCCGCTGCTGACCTGTCGCCAGCTCTCTGGAGGACTCGCCGCCTCCTGCAAGGTCTGCCAGCTGGAGCCCAAACCAGGCTGTCCTCCTGCCTGGTTAGTTGTCCCTGTGTCTCCCACAAAGAAATAGCATGAAAATAGCGTCCCATTCCGAGATCTTCCTCTTTCTGGCAAACCTCAGACGCCCTGCGCTTGGTTTGTACTAAAGAACTGAAATGATAGCCAGAGAAGCAAAGAGCCTTTGAAAATATGCTCGCCTTCCCAGTGCACAGTTCTCTCTAAAGATATTTGACTTTAGACTTTGTCACCCCAGTGTTCCCTCCGGTGTTTTCTAAGGACTTTAGTAAACATCACCGGAGTATAGGAAGGACACAGAATATTCTGGGGCCACCACTGCTCTTGCACAGCAGTTGCTCTGGGCTGAGTAGCTTTAGCCAGACGTCCACTTTGCCCTCTGAGTCCAGGTGGCTCCCCTTGCAGAGGGGATTGCAATATGCGAAATGTGGCAGGAGTGTTTTGTGAGAGATGTGTGGAGGCCTAAACACCGAGAGTGGGCAATGGTGGACAATCAGTGCCCTACCAGGGGTGGGGAACCTGTGGCCTTGGGCCCACATGTGGCCTTCTGGATCCTTGAGTGCGGCCTTTTGACCGAATCCAAATTTTACACAACAAATCCTTTTAACAAGTCCTTTGGATATGGAGGGCTGCATGTGGCCTGGAGGCCGCAGGTACAGCTATAATTTTATGACTTTCTTAACATACAAGAGATATCATATGCCAGCTCATCAAGCAATTTGTATGTTTGCCTCTTGTATGTTTTAAATAATTCACATTTCAAAGTAAATGTAGACTGCCCCTCCCCCATTTTCTGGACAATTCTGGGCAGAGTTTTAGATGCTTTGTCTAAATGTGAGAATGAAATTCATAGTTTATAATAGGCAATGCATATATATTCCCACCCCCTAAAAGTGTGTTGGTAAATGGTTGTAGCTCACGAATGTGTAAGATGAAACTCTTACATCATCATAACCATTGTTTTAATCTTGCACCAACCTGGCCCAAAATGCTCTGTCCTGTGGGAACTGTCTGGTTTAGCTACAAGGTAATAGGGAAGATCCTTATAGCTTGTTGGCTCACTTTGACCCCCCACCCCAGAGGGCCTCTCTTTCCCAAAGGTGTTTCTGTGACTGTTTTCCATCCATGGAGGGCACTATTTCTTTTTGGTTTAGCAGCACAGAAAAATTAAGAACAATGACTATTTAAATCACTATGTATGTCTGGCAGACTGAGGATTTGGCAACATTTTCAAGTATGCTAAGCCCCATTCTACAGCAGAGGAAGAATAATGGATCAAAGTGAGCGTATGTAAAGAGTGGTCCATTCCCAGGTGAAAGGGGAGGTGAACTTGAAAGTTAGGAGGTGGGAGAGACTATCCTTCATACCTTAGCGGTGGGGACCCAGGAAACGGCTATTCACACTCTCCCAGGCATGGTGGGAGGAGAGAACAAAAATAGTTCTTGAAAACAGATTATGGAGGCATATTGGAGAGCGGGACAGTTTTTCTAAATTAGCACTCAAAAGGGGTGCAGACACACTAATCCTCGTGGCATGTTTTGGGGGGTGCTTGATGACATGTTGCAGTTACCTGGTGAGACTGAGAGGGGAAGGCCTGGGAACAATAATTAGAGACACATTTGTTTTATATACCATAAAGACTAGAAAGGACATACTGATTTTAACAGACAAAAAATATCCAAATAAATGACTACCTTCCACAGTGTTCTCTGTGTTTTAAGCATGTAACGAATGCTTTAAAGAGCTTTTCAAGCACATTTTGGCACATTTGTGTTTGAAGGCAGACTTTTTCCTATGCTGGCTGTGTACGTTGGATACTGTATCAGACGTACAAATGCGGAATGTATACTATGATGAGAACAGGAGTTCTAGGGGTCACGTGCTTGTCAGCTTTGTTCCGAAGTAGAAGCAGAAATGGAAGAAGGTTTCACCTTCTGACTGTGGATCAAAGTTCAGGGTCTGAGAAGCTGCCTCTTTTACCCTCTTCCCTGCTGCATACTGCAGTCTGCCCCTTGCAAAGAAGCCTCACGCAGTGTCTTAGTGGTTCAGCATGTATCCGTTAGCATGTGGGTGCACCTACAATCTATGTCTGTTCTGTCCCTAGGTGCTAGGTGGGGAGGTGGAGACAAAAGAGCAGCTAAGCACAGTTTTGGGCCTCTTCTCATTTAGTTGTGGCTGTCCTAGCACCTGCCTACACTTGCAAAACTGCCAAGCCGGTTAGAAGCCCAGGTTATCACAGCTAAAAGGGATCTTGGTGCTGACAAGCCTCTGTCCCCTCCTGAATGTCCCTGGCCCGCAGTTACCCTCAGCTTGGACGCTCGCGCACGGACGCAAGTGCTGTTAGCCAGGCAGCTGACCTACCCTACAGTTCTCGGCCTCACAGGGACACACTCTTTTTTGGCGAATAAAACTCAGGTTATCTCATGCCTGTTTGTGCAGCTTGCTTCTCAGAATGATTGTTTTTATTCATTTATGCGTTTTCAATAAGTTTCTTTACTGGCTGAAAAACCTACGATACTTTAGCTCTTCTGTGTGTGCCAGACTTTGCTGTACTGATTACTCCGCTTGGCTTGTGTCTCTCAAGCATGACACCCAGAATGCAACCCCACAGCCCTTGTCGTTCTCACCCCAAGAGGGGGCAGGTGGATACTGTCCTTCCCCTACTGAGCCTCCAGGTGATGCCTTAAGACTTTCAGTAGACATGACATACTTCTGTCTCCAGACCATAGTCACCAAACCACCACATCATCTTCATGGGATTATATTAAGTCGGGGCTTTCTGCATCTTTTGGCTCGTGTAGTGTGACATGCAACAGAGGTTTCATCTTAATGGTTTTTGAGTTTTTATATTTCTCCTGTTAGGATCCTTTTTGTTTTTATTTTTTGCCTTGGTCCTTGGCATTTGTTATCTATACCAGAATTTGCATCACAGAATCTGCAGTGCCTTCAAAATCATAACAATAATACTACCTTTCTCTTGTGCAGCCCCTTATAGTTTTCAGAACATTTCCGCATACGTTATTTTCTTTTATTAAGAAAAATAACCCAAGGCCAGTCTTAACACTAGTCAATATCATGGATATTAAATTAGCGAACACACTTTTCACTAGGTGTAGACTAGGTGTTCTGCACAGAAACCAGGTACAGATTCTCCTCAACTGATGATTGGGTTATGTCCAGTAAACCCATTATAAATTGAAAATATTATAAGTAAAAAATGCATTTAATCTGCCTAACCTGCTGAGCATCATAGCATAGCCTAGCCTACATTAAACATGCTCAGAGCGCTTACGTTAGCCTACAGTTGGGCATAATCATCTAACACAAAGCCTATTCTATGATACTGTGTTGAATATCTTGTGCAATTTATTGAACCCTATACAAACAGTGAAAAACAGAATGGCTGTATGGGTACTCAAGGTATACTTTTGTACCATCATAAAGTGGAAAAATTGTTAAGTTCAACCCCTGTAGGTCAGAGACCATCCATATTCTACTTCGTGATGACTTTTGTAGCTTTGTAATTTATCTCCCAGCTCTGTTGAAAGGTATTGTCAGTGTTTTCCTGAAGAGAAAAATCAAACAGATTCGTAAGAGCGGGCCGAGAGCAGGCTGCAGGGTGGAGAGAAGGAGCAGGCGGGGCCTGCTCAGGAGGCTTCTGTCTTCCACGGCGTCTCCCGTGCAGCCCAAATCCTCACACACATTTGGGATTTCAGTCGATGTTAAAAAAATCCAACTCCACAGACTTAAAAATAATTTGCATAGTTTACCCTGCATTTTTCTGAGTGAATCCTTGTTGGTTTCTAATGCTCACCACTCTCCCGAATAATCGGTAGAGTTTTGCCAATAATCAATGCAGCTAAACTTTCCAAGCCCTATGTTTTTTCTGTATTTGAAGTTTAGGATGTTTGTCCATCTCCAATCTTCTGATACTATTTCATCTATTCTCATTAATTCACAAAGATTTCTGAATTTTATCCTGAAAATTATTTAAATATCCTAGAAAGTAACTTGTATGCTTTTTTTAGGGCTAAAGACTAGAAGTTATATAAAGTGACTCCAGTATAATTTAATTATTACTAAAAATAATTACACTAATAGTATTTTTAAAAAATAGCCCACGGTTCTATGATCCTAGCCTAAGAACTAGCTTTCACCCTTTTTTGTTTGTTTGTTTTTTTTTTTTTTTTTTAGAGACAGGGTCTCACTCTGTCACCCAGGCTAGAGTACAGTGGTCAGTGGTGTCATCATAACTCAGTGTAACCTTGACTCCTGGGCTCAAG